TCACCATCAAATTGGTATTAACTGATCAACACATAAGTGCACATATAACATTTATTGGATGTCGGGCAGGGGGAAGGGGGGAGGTGGGAGGAGGGGACGGGTATATGCATACACAAAGAGTGCGATACACACCATCCAAGGGATGGACACCCTTGAAACTCAGACTTGAGGAAAAACAAGCACCACATGTACTCACCATCAAATTGGTATTAACTGATGAACACATAAGTGTACATATCACAATAACATCTATTGGTTGTCGGGCAGGGGGGAGGGGGAAGGGGGGAGGAGGGGGGAGGAGATGGGTATTTGCATACACAAAGAGTGCAATACACACCATCCAAGGGATGGACACCCTTGAAACTCAGACTTGAGGGGGAGGGGGGAGACAAAGGCAACATATGTAACCTAAACATCTGTACCCCCATAATATGCTGAAATAAAAAAAAATTAGCTAATCAAAATATATAAAAAAAAAAGACACAGTGAGTGGCCAAGTTAGAATTCCAACCTGTCCTCCTGTCTCCAGAGGCCACGCACACTTCCTGGGACAACTTGCTAATCGTAAAAGCTATGGAAATGCTATGTATTTTTTTTTTCTTGACTTTAGTTCATCATCAGCCAGGGTGGATCTCAAGAGTGGCTTAGAAGAATGTGCTGCGGCATTGAACTTATTTTTAAGTAACAAATTTACAGACGCCTTAGAATTGCTTCGTCCATGGTAATTAACTAACTTTATTTCTTTCAGATGTAATCTTTTTCAGATATTTCTGATGATTCTTTGATTTCATGCTTGTAAGTTACTTTATCTGTTCCTACTTGAATGTTTATAAGCTAATTTGGTTAAGACCCTTTACCTTTGGTCAATTTTAAAAGTCAGTCAAGAAATCTGTTTTTTCAAATTTAATCAGTAGAAGATATCTGATTCTTTCTCATGTTTTAATTTCCATACTCGTTCATATATTGTCATATAGTTTTGTAGGGCTTCAATTTTGCTTTCTTCAGTGAAATATTTTTATGGGTGTTCCTCTTCAACTTAAATATCATTGAAAAATATTGCCTTTGCAAGGGGAGGGGAAGAACTAGAATATGCTAAAAAGAAATTTAAGACAATAAAAGTATTATTGGGATTCCTTATTTATAGGATATATAAGTTAAGCAATTTAATTTCAATTAATGGCTAATTTTTGAAAATTTTCAAATGTGGCATAAAAACCTGTGCTCAGCCTGTTTACTAGGCTTTTAGCTTGGCACGAATAATCTTACCTTGTGCCTTCAGAACAGTCACTCTCTCGGATGAAGCTTAGACCTCATATAATAACTTTCTAGATTATTCCCCACAAGGGTGGGGAATCCCATTCCTTACTTTCAGTGGCCTACAGGGTGACCTGACTGTCCACTGACTTTGAACCTCAGAGGCTAATTTACCTACTGAGGATCTGCTGTGGTAATTCTGTTGACATTTAGAGCAGCTGTGGTCAAGGTTGGGCAGTGAGCACCTCACAGGCTAAGAACAAGAGATGAGATAGACAGTGAAGCCCAAAGTCTAAGGAAGTTGTCCAGTGTTGTCTCCAACACTTGTCTCTTAGTCTCCACCTTGCCTGTGTCCTGCCTTTTCCCTCTGTCCTTCTTGGTCCTTCAGACTTCTGTCTTCTTCTGACTCTACCTACCATTGTCATCTTCCGTCTCCTTGTCTTTCCCTCTCTCTCTGTCTCTCCCTCTGTCCCTTCTCTCAGCCCATCTGCCTATCTCCTTTGGTTTTGTTTTTGTATTTTTTATGGATATATTATAGTTGTACATATTTTGTGGGTACACATGGTATTTTGATACCTGTACACAGTGTGTGATTATCAAGTCGGGGTAATGAGGATATCCATGACCTCAAACATTTATCTTTCTTTGTGTTGAGAACATTACAATTATTCTCTCCTGGCTATTTTGAAGTATACAATAAATTAACTATAATTTCCCTACCATACTATTGAATACTAGAGGTTATTCCTTTTGACTATATGTCTGTGCCCATCATCTCCTATGTTTTTAATTCAAAGAAGTCTCCTTTATTTCCTGTGCCACTGTCACCCTGCTGTCATAATATGGAATGAAAATAAGTTATTTAGTATTATATTCAGTTAAGTTTTATATTCTCTGATCTTTGTGCATGTTTCACTGTTAAAAATACTTTTTTCTAACTTGAATCCTTTTTTTTTGCCTCCTGGAAGAGCTGTCAGTTAAAAATGTGAGGTTTGAAACCACAATTAATGATTAACTTTGGGCTGCTCTTATTCCTTGTGGTTCTTTTGAACAGGCAGTGCCCTTAATGTTCAGGACAAACTACT